TCCAATATCCATCACACACCAATGTCTAACCAATACGAGTCCTTCCCAAGTTTGACCACACAGTTACTGGGCCGAGGCGATTTTATTGGCCCTTGGACCTGCGCCAGGACGCTTTCTCTTCTTTTACATTTGCTTCTTTGAGTGAAAGTGAAACATATATTTAGGGAAATGTCGTTTACATTGCATTTTTTTTTATTAATTACACTTTTCCCATTTTTTTTAATTATACAGTCTAATAAATAAAAATTTATGATAAAAATGATAATGAGAATGTGATTATAAAAAATGGGAGTGCAAACAATATTTTCCTATATTTATTGCAATGTGTAGTGATATACAACAGACTTTTTAAGTGTGACAGAAAACTTTTCTATTTATAATGGCGAAGTAAATAAAAGATGGAAGGTCACATACATTTCTACTCAAAATAAATTTTTTCTAACTTATGTTTAACTTTACTCCACCTATAAAATCAAAATTTGGGTTGAGTAATATATTAGAATTTCAATAATCAACTGGCCAATGGGCTCATTTCCCCTGTCCTCAGCCCTCCTCCCTCCCGCAATAAAAGCAACCTCAGCAAATAGCAATAGGATCTATTCACAAAATCGAAGTACCCAACAAAATATTTGTTGCTTTAAACTTCTTCTTTTTTTTAAAAAAAAAAATCTCAATTTAAAGAAACAAATCACGAAGTTCTCATTATTATTGAAAGCTTTTAACCATAATGAACCTTCCCTTTGTTGACTCATAAAGCTTTTATGGCTCTTCCTTTTGGTAGAGGAGCAAATCAATCAATTATTATTTGGAGCGCTACTATCAAATCTTTCTATTGCACCCACCCCCCACTAAAATCATGATTTGGAAATTGACTACATATAAATATAATAGTAAAAAGCTGCTCAATGAGGAAATAGAATCACTGGCAGATATGATATTTATTTCTTTCGAATCTGGCACTTGTACGAAACTAAGAAAGATTTCACACACATTATTTTCTTTTTGTAAACGCTTGATACGTAATCAATCAGCAACATGCATTTCCTCTTCTTAAGAAGAAATTACCACATATTTGTTACTGAATTGAGAATTTACCCCATCACAAAGTTGTATCATAGCTATGATTCATATGCCAATGAAGCACAATTCTATGAGATGATTCATCTATAACTAATGATAGATTGGTTTACTTGGAATTGGCTATTTTTAAAATTATAACGTTCTTAAAGACTATCACATATTTATTACCCGAATCACAAAGTTATATCAACTATGATCAATGAAATGTGATTCTGTAAAATGTTTCATTTATAACTAGTAACGAGTTTGTTTGCTGGCATTGGCTATTTTAGAATCATACGAATGTTTTTAGAAACTTTTAGTACATTCTTTTAAAAATCATCTACTATCATTTTACATTACACACTACTATTTCCCCAAAAGTCGTGGAAACAAAAAAATTTCTAAACGCCCAACAAACAATTGTCCAATTCGTGGAACAAAATCTTTATTGTGAATCCACAACCAATTAGGCCCCGTTTGAATTGTATTTTTCGTCATTTTTCATGGAAAAATTATTGTAGCGATTTGATGTATGTGAAAAAAAAATGTAATAGAAAAATGTGATCACGGAAAACAAAGTAATTTTTCGGCAAAAAATGGCAATCCAAACAAAGCCAAGTAACCAGCCAATCCAAACAAAAATTACAAATAATTAAAGTGGGAACAACGTGCCCAAAGCAGAGGACCGTTGCAGAAATTACATTTTCTAAGAGGATCAAGATCAAGATTCCTATCCCACTCCTACCTACCAAAAGAGAGGAGTGAAAATTTTTTAAAAAAATGTACTGATGTAGTAATGGTGGTGTCCTACTGACATCATTAATATTCTTTATTTTTTTCCCTAGTTCCAAAAAAACAACACCGAACCTGTCTCTTTTAACGGCTCCTGCCCCCGCCTCTCTCTCCCGAATTTGAAATCCTCTCTCTCTCTCTCTCTCTCTCTCTCTCTCTCTCTTGATTCCTGCACCCTCCCTTTTTCCTATCTTTTTCCTTCTTCTTTCTTTCCATCCGTTACACGATTTTCAAATTTGCCATACTCTGTAATTTCCCCATTTCTTTCTTTGTTTAGCCAAGAAAACAAGCATGGGTGGATGTTTGAGCAAGAAGAGCACTTGTTCTTCTTGTACAACCCCATTTCCTAATCCAAATCCACTCCACCAGCAAATTAAACCCCAGCCCCACGTCGAAAATAAGAAATCCGAAGAAGAAACTGTGAAAAAAGAAGTATTCATCATCAAACATCGAAAGAGCCATGACATCGATAGACTGCTGTCCGAAGAGGAGAAGGATGATGTGAAGCAAAAGGCTGCGCCAGAAATCGTGGTCGAGTCGGGGAAAATTGGTTCTGCTGATAAGAAGAATAGCTGTAATAATAATGCTAGTAATAACGGTGGGATATTCGTTGCCGCTGCGCCTGTGAGAACGTCTAGTTGTACTAAAGAAGAAGTGGATGCTATTCTGATACAATGTGGAAGGCTTAGTCGAAGCTCTTCCACTGGAAAGGCGGCAAATCTTTCGGGTCCATGTGGATCTGGTGATAATAATAATGGGGACAATCCTGCTCCTTCCCAAAGGGGAAGGAAGTATTCGGGCTCGAAAAGGAGTTACGATTTTGACAATGATAATGGTAGTGATGGTAAGGATAATGTTGCTGCTGCTGATAAGGATGACGATGATGACATTGGGGTGGTTGGAGAGAGGTCCCACCGCCATAGACAGCGACAGAGGCAGTCTAGGACGGTGGGGTCACCGTCTAAGGGAAGGAGGAGGACTCCGAGTAGGGAAAGAGAACAGCAGCAGAGGGCGGGTAGCAGAGAACGGGGTAGTAGTAGCAATGGAAGTGGAAGAAGGGTGAGTAGGTCTCCTGGTAGGAGGTCTGAATCACCTGCTATTACTACTGCCTCTACTGGCGTCAATTCGTCACAGGGAAATAGTAATGGTGGTAATGGTAATAGGCCTGGAAAGATGGTCTCTGTTCCTGCTACTGTTTCGTCTTTGGTTATGGACAAGAGTAATAGTGCTGGTGGAGGAAATGAGACTGTTTCAGCCTCTGCTGTTAAGAGGATTCAGGTGAAGAGAAATGCTGGGGGTGCTGGTGATGCTGCTGTGGGTGCAAGGACTGCTGCTTCTCCTCGCGCTCGCTCTCCTGCAAGGGGGAATGTTAAAGTTTTGAATGAGAGCCAGAATCAGAACCAGCAACAACCGATGTCGCTCAGTCGAAGCAATTCCAGGAAGGCAGAACATTCCCCATACAGGAGAAATCCCTTGAGTGAGATTGACACAAATGTGGTTACTGAAAATATGTCTTTGCCTGGTAGCAAGGCCCCTAACAGTACCAACACCCAGGTATGCATGCTCAGAGCACTATTTGGTGTCATGAAACATTTTTTTTGTTTAATTGCTTCTATTTTGTTAGTGAAGCCTACTTATTACTGTTTTTCTTTATACCACTGTTGCTTGAGTTTAGTGATACATGAAAAAAATAATGTGGGATACATTAATGATTTCATTCACATTAGTCTCTCTTGTCTGCAATACCCAAATTGGACAGCATTGTATCTCCGGTGTTGTGTGGATTAAGGCTAGTCTATAGTGTCTCTCTTGATGCTTTAGATTGAGGTGAACGATCATTAGTAAAGCTATTTCCACATCTTTGAGTAACATATCCTGGGACTAGTCTAATACTACTCGGTATACCCATTCAGAAGCCAAATTCTGATTACACAACGAACAACAAAGTTGCAGTCCAAGGTGCTGAGAACAAAATTAGCAGCAGTAAAGGTATTGCAGACCACAGTGCGACCAATCTGAACTTAAAAAATAAGGAGCAGCAGCATCTGATATCTGAAGTGGCCAAGGCTCCGCAAGCAATCACCTCCAATGTTGCAGTGAACACGGTTGCATCAGGCCCTGAGTGCCTCAAACCCCAGGGAGTAACCAGAAGCAGGTCTTCTAGGCTATCCCGTGACTTTGATATTAATCCTGAAACATTGTCAAATCCTTCACCATCCTATACAGCATTGTTGCTGGAAGACATACAAAACTTTCACCAAAAGAGCAGCACCCCTGCAATTTCCCTCCCACCTTGCCTCTCCAAAGCCTGCTCTATACTTGAAGCAGTTGCCGACCTGAATTCCAGCACCAGCTCAAATTTGTCGAGTGCCTTCTCAGAGGACAAGAGACGGGCTCCCACAGTTGAGCAATTCAACAAGCTTTACGACAACGCTTCTTTCGGAGCTCATAATCCCGCTGGTATGAAGGGTTTAGATACCAATGCTCCTTTTGTGCAATCTGAGGTGGCCGTCACTGATGATCTAATGGAACCAACTTTTCACAAGTATGTCACCGTCAGTAGGGGTGGCACTGTAGGAGGGGAAGATAATGAAGAGCAAGAATCTTCTGGAAGCAACAGCTTTGTAGGTGGCCAACAGTACTGGGTTTCCCCTTCCTCTTGGGAACCTAATTCAGCTGATTCAACTGAATGCTGGACCTCTTCAAGGTCTAATATCAGGGACGACAGCGTAAGCCCCGTGGGATTTCAGAGACATGCCATATCCAAGTCTGGTCATGACGCTGAAGAACCTAGAAGAAGATTGAATGGAAAGAAGAGCGATTCTGATCAACAGCAAAATGGGATAGGAAGGGGTCGAATTGGATCGAGAGGACCCCAGTCCGTACCCGCAGTCACTACTGCTGCTTCAACCTAGACTCATTGGTCTATTTAGATGTCAAATGTAGTTACAGAATGATTAAATTCTTGTTGCAAACTTGCAACTTTCCTTGTACTGTACTTGTTCAGAAAATTGTTTGCTTGGAACCAGTTCTTTTGTTTCCAAAAGCTTTGATCGAAATGCTTTCCGTAGTTCAGCTACTACATGATTTTTTCAGAAAATAATCATGAAAAATTCGTAAAAAGGAAGCAAATTTCCGGTGACCTCTTGGAACAATTATCAATTCCTGTCTGCGTAACAATGCTGATATGTTGAAATACAGAATACTGATTTACATAATAGAGCGAAGTCGTTTTTAAATTCGATCCATCTCAGGGAAAATACACAACATTTTAGAAGCATGCCTTTACAACTATGCTGCTGCCTAAACCCGTTTCTAATCATCACTACGGTTCAATTCCTAAAGTCTTAATCCTACCAACATTTGTACAGTGCTATATTATCCTGCATTTTTTGAGGAAATCTGACCACCTTTAGCTATCCTTCTTGGGTGGGTCCCATCACAATTACCTGCTGGTGGGTGATTGGTATTAGTGGCATCACGACATGGTGTATCTAATATCTCCCCCCATATATTGCTTTTCTTTACAAGAAAAGTCATTTTTCTTCAGAAGTTTTGTAATTGACCATGAAAATAGCTGCCACAATTACGAGTGCTCCAATGACTTGTATGGGAGTGAAGGTCTCGTCAAGGTAGAGGAACCTGTGTTTTAGAATAGATAAATTAGATCACGTTAAAGATCAGAAAAGAAAGCATCTAAGAGGATTCCAATGCATGGGCAAGTCATCAGAAAATATATCGAGGATATAATCTTCTCCATGGGGACAAAAACACAGTTCATGTTGTTGCAAATTTTGTATGATTACAAAGAAGGTACAGTTCTTCTGACGGAATAGCTCTTACCCAAAGATTGAAGCAAACATTGGAGTCAGAAAAGTAAGAGAACTGAGCTTCGTGAGACTGCCTGAAGTTGAAAGTAAAATGTAGTCAACTTCAATATTCATATATGGTATGTCAAACAGTAAGAGAAGTATGTAAAAAGCAAGAAAAGCCGAAGCATACCTCTTGTAGCATTGTAGAAGTATACGCCATAGCTTACAGCACTTCCAAAAATTGAGGTATAAAGAAGCGCCAAAAGATCATTCGATGAAAGGTCCTTAAAGCTCCCACTGAGAGCAGGATCATGATTAAGAACGGAGACTGCTAAAAGAGGGATGCCACCAATAACCATGTGCTGCAGCAGGATACACACTTCTCAGGCTCCTATCTTGGACAGGATAAAGTTCTATCTAGATTAATATAGGAATGAGCTATTATTTTCTTTCAAGCATTCATATTTCCTATTTGTAGCATGAAACAGCAAGCCAAGAACCTGGTTTGGGAGTTTAGGGAACAAAAGATATAAAGAAGAGAAACCTGACGTGATGACAGGAGAATAGGAGAGAGAAGCAGATAAGTTCATCTAATCTTCTTTGATAGTTTAGGAAAGCAAAAAGATGATCTTAGATTCATTCCACACCCTTTTGTGGTTATTGCTTTGGCAAAGTTGTTATACAGGAAACCCTAAATCTCCTCTTCTCTTTATCTCCATATTAAGAGAAAAAGTTAAGTCTTTTTTGACAAACAGAAAGTAAGTTTCTAACCTATACTAAATCCTCTCACTTTTCGCCACTCTATTCAGATCCTTCCAACAAGGCAGGCCTAGAAATATCTTCCTTTTCTTTTCCCACCAACTTTCTAATCACAGGTATGTAAAAAAAATTACACCACAATGGAACTCTACAAAAAAATATTTGGGAATCAGGACCAAAAACACAAACCATAAGAAGGTTGTCGTGTGAAGACACAGGATTTACTTGTTGGAGCTCTAGAGTAACAAGAGATTTACTTGTTGGAAACTAGAAACAAAGCTTCCAGACTTACCCACCCTGTAGCCATGATGGGATCAGAGTATTTGGTAACCCAACGGACCATGACAGTTCCAACTGCCATACTTTGTGCTGCCAGAAGCATCCACCACTCACCACTTCCCCACAGAGAAAAGTTACTCTTGTCAAAAGATATAGCAGGTACCTACATTGACTCAGTGATGAGAATAGACCATTTAATTAGATTAGGCAAGCTCATGGTTTTCAAAACGAAGAGCTTCACTACTCATAAATTTTGTCACACTGATGCAAAAAGCTGGTTTAAGTAGATTAAACAAGTCAATAATTCTCAAAACAAAAAGTCTCCGAGTCAACAGGCATAAAGCTGTTTGGCAAGGGCTGTGCTGACTGTTTCAAACTCTGAGTTCAGCAGACATAAGTCACATAACCAAAGCAATGCAGTACAATATTTTGCCTAAGAAGCTACTTAAATTCGCCAGCCAAACACCATGTGCTTTTTGACCAAAAAAACTTCTAGCCACAAGATGAAACAAATTATGTGACTGCCCAATTATGATAGATGAGACAAACTCAATCTACTTAACTTCCAAGTAGACTACATTGAATGATCTATGTATAATATATAAAGTAGCAAAAACTTCTTATGCATATTATCCAGCACATAACAAATCTATGTATAATATATAGAGTGAGAAGGCTTCAAAAAATGATGAATCAACTTAACCTTGTCCATGAATTCCAAAAATTGCAGGGAGCGAACATATTAACTAACCACTTCTTCGTTGAAAATAGAAGTCTTGTATATTGTACCTCAAGAAGCAGAAGTCCAACGACACCAAACACGAGCCCAGTAGCTCCAACCAACCCAATGGATTCACCAAACAATAAAGCAGCAAGTATAGCCACCGTCAAAGGCTGTGAATCAATTATTACCTGCAATAATTAGCTCACAACCATTATTATGTTTCTCAAACATGTCAATTGAAAGATAAACTGAGAAGTTCAGGCACCAAGAATATTAAACCAAGACGTTCACAACTGACAAGTAACGTATACCACTAAGATGAAAATACGTTATGCGTTAGCATTTAAGAACATGATGGCATTGTAACGAACACAAGTTTGAAAGTAGTAATTTTCTTACCAAAAAAACCAAGTGTGCAAAGCCTTTCTATTGGTTTTGATTTTTCCTTGGAAACTACCTCAATTATCTCCTGAATGACATATCTTCTCTCTTCAAATAACCAGAGTAAATTAACAACTTGCCACATTTGAAGCACCTAAATTCAGCTTCCACTAACTCCAAAAATTAGCTTAACAAATTGCACGTCTACTCAAGAAGCAAGAAAGCTCAACAGCTTAACACACGTACACTGCCTAGTCCAGCAGTTGTCCTCTCCAATCCCTCAGCAAGAAATCCCTGGACACCATCAAAGAACACGTTTAAGAGAACAAAGTGCTGCTTAAATGTAACTATTCTCAATCTAATATAGAAACACAAGACAAAAAACAAAAAGATACCTGAAAACAGGCAGCATCAACGAGAGCAAAAAGAAATATAGGAAACCAAGCATTAAAGCCAGAAGGAAACCTCCGACCTTTGAGAGCAGCAAAACCAACCAACAACAAGCCAGCTGGAATTAACCGAAAAGAAGAGACGAAAAAAGGACCTGTTTTTGGTAAAACTTCTTTCATGGCCACCATAGCCGTACCCCAGAAGAAAAAAGGCGAAATTAACAGACCCCATTCCCATACTGCCTCCACCAACTCCCCAGCCAAATTTGATGATGATAAAGAAGAATCAAGATCATTTTTTCCTGGGTTTTGAGGGAGTTTATCGTCCAAAGGCTTAGAAGATGGGGCAGTTGAAGGCACCACCACACATTCAACATCTTGCCCTGTACCCACGCAGTCCACTTCTTCTCCTCGTTCTTGTGCTGATTTCGTAAATGGGCTCGCTTCTACTTCAGATTCTGTAGCTTTAACTTTGAAATTAGATTGAAATTTGTTGCAGAAATAAATATTAGCCAAAGTTAATGATGAAGTATTCCTGGTTCTTGGGTTTAGTTTCACTTGTAGGCTGGTGGATTTTGTTGAATCGCAACAGTTAAGAATGGTTACAACAGACTTGCTACTAGAAGAATAGGAGCTTGGGGGGCCATGAAAAATGGAGAACGAAGAAGAAAAACAGCAAAAATTGCAACTCAGCGCCATTTTTCTTCCTTCCCTACCCTGAGAAGTATACAAGAGCAGATCAGTGTAATATTTGATTTTGAACACAAATTAGAAGCTAGATTGGATATTGCACAGGTTGGAAACAAAGACTGGGGAGAGGAAATGGAGATAAATGACTAATTGAGGATGAAAATAGAGTAGTAATAGAAAGACTTTGGGAGGCAAATAACAAGAAGAAAGAGATCCACGACAGCGGGATATCAAAGACAGTTGCTTCTTTTTGTTTTTGTTTTTTGGTTTTTTTTCCCCTCTTTTTTCATCACAAAAAAGGAATCGACTTCACTAGAGAAAGAAAAGTGTGCAGTGCACATAGCGATTTCGGAACAAAATCAAACCCGACTTCACTGCGTTACAGAAAGGGGAAATTTCACAATCCTCCCTTGAGATTAGAGCAGATGCAGGAACCCTCCCTCTGGTATCAAAAATCACACTTCTCTCCTTTATGTTTTACTTGTTAGGTGGAGTATTACATAACACAACACACTCAAAAAATGCCATAAGCCAAATCTCCAATTGATATTCTGAAATACCATCATTGTGGTTCAATTAAAAATGTTGTTAACCATCTTCTTCCATACAAAAACACTAAAGCAAAAAAAAAATAAAGAGAGAATTTAATTAACTTAAAGTATTATTACAATTGTTTAATCTTTCTGATTTTATAGGATATTCTTTGTCACGGTGAAGATTTGTTTTAGGGAGTAGGAGGAGGAGGAGGGGGAATCGGCATCTCATATTATTGTATCTACAAGTTTTAATTGTAAGTTTTTTCAATAGGCAAAATCGAAACAAAAGGTATCATCGAATTATTTAAGAAAATTAAGGGTACAATTTCGTATATCATCGACATTGTGTGATAAAAGAAACAACCTTTCATTTTAAAACAAGGTATCAAGGAATTGTCAATTTTGTAATTGGTAGGGTCCAATCAACTCCTTTTGACTTAAAGACATTTGGAGGAATAGTAGAATTATTTATCAAATCCTTGAGGGGCATCATGGAATTACTTACCAAATTTTGGGGGTTATAATATACAAATATTAAAACCTATACCTCTTTAATTACTTTTCTTACCCAAGCCCATAGTACGAAGCCCATCCAACTTTATTCCAGGCCCAATCTAAATTACCCCAACAACCTCCAGTACGGCTCAATTGAATGAAGGTTAAACAACTCCTGCTCGTTCTGCCTATTCTCTTCCTCCTTTCCAATACTAAGAAGAAAACGAAAAAAATTCGATTCTGAGCACAAGAATTTTGCAGGGTCTCCTCTGGAATTCCCGTGGCTTCTTTTCTCTACTGCAAAGGTACGAAGATATACAGGATGCTTTTTCCTATGTTATATCTGTTTGTTTGTACATGTATATAACCTCGTCTACAATTCCTGCATACGTATTTTTGGGTGGTTTGATAAATTGGCGTACACTAACTGTTTGGTGAAATTCCTGAGCTTAAAGAAGCCACAAAAGCTATGAAGTTTCTGGTCATTGATGAAAAATTTAAACGGTAGCTTTGAGGTTGGAAGTCTAAATCGAGGTAATGAGTGTGAAAAAGTTGTATGGGAAAATAAGCGCTAAAAACGCAAGACGGTTTTTTTTCCCCTGCTTAATGAACTTATATGGTATATAGTTTTCAGGTATGCAAAGAATCCCTTTCTGGGCTCTTTCAAAACTAGTTTAACTTTTGATTGAATTTGCAAGAAAGTGGGATACGGTGTTTTTTTTTAAGCACTATTAGTCTATTACCAAGCAAGTGCAAGGCTTATGGATGAACAAAGTAATTACGGCTTTGAGACGTTCGGTTAGGAAGTGTTGGTAGCAAATGTTATACGTGGAGGCAACGGGGCTTATCGAATTGTTTGTAGTGCAGATAACATTGTCAAGACTTTTTGTGGGACGTAAGAGAGGAACATTGAAGAGTAAAGTTAGAATAAATAGGCTAGCTTATAGTAGCAAAGCATTTCTTTCATTTATTTATTTATTTTCTGAATCTTAAATGTGTTATATAAGTTTTGCATACTTCTGGTTTTGACTAACACTTAGAGTTACAGAAATGTTGCACCACTTCTGATTGCATTAAAAGCTTGGCTTTCCTTTTCCTTTTTCTTTTCTCTTCTTGGGATTTGAAGTTGAGAATATTAGATGGGACTCGGGCCAGCTTCACTTAAGCTTTTAAGTCTACTTGGTGTGTGAGGGTTTAAAAATTTTACTTGCTCCTATAGAGTCGGAAATTGAGACTTTCAATGTTCAGTCCTCTAATTGTGGTAGGAACCCCAAAATAGCTGTTTAGTTTATGTTTAATACTGGAATTTTCTTTTCATTTTCTATTTTGAGTCAGGGTGGTTGGGGTGATGGGCAACAGGGAGGAAGAGTAAATGTAGGATATACGGAGGACACCTATTGGAAGTGATTTACATAGCTGCATCTGCTGTACATCAATCAAAACCTGTTCACTTTAGTTAGTCGATAATGTGCCTTAGCAAGTTTGACTTTTTCCTTGCAGACTTCTTCATACAGTTATAAACATCAGCATTCAACAAAATCCAGTGTTATTTGTATTGGATTTCCCGAATGTCTGGGGGGCCAGGACTTGAGTCTCTTGTAGACCGTAAGTTATTCTTGAACTGGTTTGAGTTATTTGTCTTTCTTAGTAAGCTTATGAAGTGAATGTTCTTTGAAATGCTGGCTAGAGAATAGTTATTGCAAGAACATAATTTGTAGAGCCAGTCACTGGGTTTTGTTAATCCTTATATTATTGGCATTAACAGAATTTCATTATTCTGTTTGCAGAAACAATTTCTGTTATCACAAATGATGGGCGCAACATAGTTGTCAGTTCATGCTGGAGTCAACAATTGAAAATGCAGTTAGAAACTTTATTGTTGTACTGACTGGAGAAACTTCTTTGTGCAGGGAATATTGAAAGGTTTTGACCAGGCTACCAATATAATTCTTGATGAATCTCATGAGCGTGTGTATTCTACAAAGGTCTGATTGGGAATCTTATTAGGAGCCACATTCTTGTGCCCATGATGCATTTTGTGGATTGTTTATTCTTGAAGAGCCCTTAGTTTCTTTTAGTTCAGTTTTTAGCATGCTTTTCCTGAACTATATTGGAAATTGGTGCTTTTGCTGTCTCATCTTTCTGATTTGTTGCTTAATCTATAGATTGAAAGCCATTCATCCATTTTGGAATTTTCTTTTTTTATCGTCCAAAAACTTGCCATTTTAGTTTTCATCTCTGTATGCCTGTCAAATTTCTGGCTGTAAAGTAGTTCTAAAGAAGATAATTTGTCAATGGTAGTTTATATAGTTTCTGGTCTCTTTTAGGTTGTCTTGGGAATCCATCTGAAATAGTAGCTTCCATTTGCCTTTAGCTAATGTTGAAAGCTTTTTGAAGTCTCAAATGTCCATGGAATTATCTCTTTAAAAGCTTGTTTCATGTTTGGGTTAATTTCCATGAGTTAAAATGTAGATAAGGGATTATTCTTTGGTGAGATCATAATTTTAGTTGGTGCATTGCAAAATCTCTGTCTTGGTATTCAGATAAACAGACAACTGTTTGAGATGGAATGACTTAATTTGTATGAGCTAGATTCAACTTTTTGTCTTGTTGATGATGGAATATATTACATGCCTCATAAGAATAATTCCTGGGAGTTCCTACGTGTTACACTTCTGGTTCTTCTTCATGCGGTCTTTCTGCATCTCTATATGGAGAAATTCTTTTACAATTCTGAATAGTTTTAATTTTTTTTTTCTAATTTACAGGAAGGTGTCCAGCAACTTGTATTGGGTCTCTACATCATTAGGGGTGATAATATGTATGTCATAATATGTCCTTGTATTTACTCTTGGTTATCACGCTCTGTTCTGGTGGTCCTTGAGAAATCGTACTTGCTGATTCCTCTGATCTGGTGCCATTTGTTTTCGCTTTTGCAGAAGCATCGTTGGTGAATTAGATGAAGAGTTAGATGCAAACTTGGATTTATCCAAACTGAGAGCTCATCCCTTGAAGCCAGTAATTCATTAACCTAGGAGAAACATGTATAAGCGTGCAAACTAAGAATTCTTAGCTTTCAAAGGACCAAGATTACTATGTCTTACTTGTGTGTAATATGCAAGGCCAAACTTGTTGCCTGAATTGATATTGTTACTTGGGTAGTGTTCATTCTTGAATTATCTAGTGCGATGAGATACTCGGCAGCTTCAACTATAAGGTTTTTTTTTTCCCCATCATATTTCTGCCTTTTGGAGATACGGCAAGATTGGTTAAGCTCCAAGTAACGCGCTACTTTCTTTTACATTACCCAGGTAACTAGAATAGAATGCGGTTGGCGTCTAGAGTAGCTCTGTTTCAGGTCTGCAGAATCAAGAATTCAGGTGTTGCCCTGGAATAGTTTCTTCTGGGGCAAATTTGGACTTGAATGGTTTCAGACATGTATGGAGAAGGAAACTAATCCGCCATAAGGCACTATCATAAAATGTCCTCTAAATAATCTGCCCTGGTAATTTATTAAAAAGACTCCAACATTAGGGAGTTTCCCGAATTTTGTTCTTTTATTTTTCAGCTTATTATAATCGAGTGTGTTCCTAAGTTACAATTGCTTGATCTTCAAACCACACTTCAGCCAGCCACTACTGTTTTAACAGGGAAGAATGAGCGCAAAGAAGGATAAGAATTTTCAAGCCCTCATCAAGTAACCGTCTAAACCAAGGTGCATGTGCATGTGCTACACAGGAAGTAAGCACAATGAAAATCTCAAAAGAAATATGTATAAGAAGATACAGATGAGTCACAGAATTATTCATCGTCTATAGTAGTATGGGAGGGAAAAACATCCTCCTCTTCTTTTATTGACAATAATGAACTAAACACCCAAAAAAATGAAAAAATCAGAAAGAAATGACAATCGCCGCCCGCGGGAATACAGACTCCATATGAAGCAAATAACTAGAACCTAAACCTAAACTTACAACGACTATCTCTAATTCTAATCGTGTTGTCAGGTGTCAAGCTATCCACGTTCAACCAACACCTTACCAAGAATTTCCACTTCATCAACTTCAATCCCCCAAGCTTCAGCCTCACCGGAACTTTTCCCCTGAGAAACAATGGAATATTTCCAGTCTGCTCCTGGGCCTGCAAAGACTGCAGCAGCCCATTTGCATCCTGCGTTTGTCCAGTCAAAGTCACGTTCATTACAGTGGTGTTCCTGTGACCTTGATAAAACTTTGGCAATGAACCTTCACAAAGTTGAGTCCC